AAAAGCCATATGGAAATTTACTACTATAGAAGTTCAGACAGACAGACAGATAGACATAAAAGAATTTAAATGTAGTAACCATAAAATATGGAGAGAGAATTCCCCAACTAGACACTATATACTACCAATTAAAATCCCTATTACCAGATATTGGTTATTTTGTTGAGTCATTGGCCAAATGGGTCCCCCAGACCCTCTATCCTTGCTAAACGTCATAGGCTATTGCCAATACTATTATTACCTCCACACCCTGATGGTAAGACTCTATTGCTAAGGACGTAGCATACTTCTCTATCAAACATGGAGAGATGGAGCTGGTGCCCAACTAGACTCTTCCCCCTTGCTGAATAACGTTCACAGTGCTGCAAAGCACTCTCCAAGCTACCACAGGAGAAAGCAGTCATCAGTCTTACCCAGCTATGAACTCCTCCAGCGACATTAGCAATCTGCCTGCATGATATCCTGGTGTAACCTAACCAACCACTTGCTGATTAGAGTTAAAGCCCGCTTACGGGATGGAACCCATACCCGATACGGCTAAAGTGGCCAAGTTTTCTTCTACAAAAGGAACACAGAAAAAGAGCGACTCCTGATGACGTACTGCTATACCCAGAGATGAGTGCCTTGCTCAGCCCATATCAGAGGCACTTCTTGCAGTGTATGGGAATTAACACAGAGACCCACAACTGGACAATATGTGAGAGACTTTGGAAGACTCAGTCCTACATGGGATGTTTTCACCAAACCCTTCTCTCCAGACTCAGAAAAGAAAGTGGAGAGGTTGTAAGAACCAGAGGTGATGGATACCTCCAAAGAATCAATGTCTTCTAGACAGAACACAATGGATGCACATATAAACTCACAGAGAATGTGGCAGTTCATACAAGGCCTACACAGGTCCAAGACAGACGCACAGGATCCCAGCACTGAGCGGGGGAAGTAGACAAAGGCTCCCACCCCTAGCCGAGAAGCTATGCCCAAATGATACTTGCTAGGAGAGGGAAGATGAGTTTTTTAATGGAGTAACAATGGAGCACTACACTCAGGCTCAGGAGCCATTGGCCAATACAAAATAGACTCCATGTTGGGCATAGCTGTGTGTGTGCACACGTGACTGCACACATGTGCATTTTGTTTTGTTTTGACAAAGAACATGAAGTTAGGTGGGTAGGGAGAAAGGGAAGTTCAAGGAAGAATGGGTTGGAGGGGAAGAACGAAATTTATTATATGAAAAAAATTTTAAGAACTAAATTAAAGTTATTAATTAAAATTAATAAAGAATTGTTATCTAATCATTTCCTTTAAAAAAAAAAGTTTCCTCCCATTGCAGCCCAGATGTGCCTCACACTTTCTGTGTTGCTGAGGGTGATCCTGGACTTCTGCCTGCCTGCCTCCCCTCCTCGATGCCGGCTGGGATTACAGGCATGCATCATCACCTCTGTTTTAGATAAGGGTGATGATCAAACCCAGGGCTTCATGCATACCGCACAGGCACTCTACCATCTGATCTACATCACCAGCCCCAACTGTCCTCTAGTTTGTTTTGATTTCCGCCCCAATATGGCAGATTGAGTCTAGGGCCTTGGACATGCTAGGAAAGTGCGCTACCACTGAGCTACACACAGCCCAGGCCCCCTCAGCCTTCTTCTGGATTTTTAACTTTGAGGTATTCTTGCTTAGCTACCTGCACTGACCCTGAACTCATCCTGTAGTCCCAGTGGACATTGAACTTATCATTCTCCTGCCTCGGCTCTCCTGAGCCACCTGCTCTTAGAGACACAGTGCCCCCTAGCAGTCACCCAGGTACATCGTTGGCTGTACAGTCATCCCAGTTGCCTCCTATGTGGCAAAGGCTGTAGAATAGGTAACATGGCGAAGGTGATCACTACTGGTCATCCCATGTCACATGCAAAAGAGAAAGGAACTCTTCATCAGTTAAAAAATAATGTTATAATTGCAGAATGTGCACTTGACTTTGATGGACGTGATCATTTCAAAAGAGCAAATAAGCAACTGAGCGACTGGCTGTTCCTGGTTGGTTCAATAATGCAAGCGATTGAAGACCCTAGTTCTCAGGTCGCGGAGTCGACTCAGCAGGTAAGTGCACCTGTTGATCTCACACAGTGCCCGGGTTTGATTCCCAGCACCTACATAGCTGCTCACAAGCCTCGGAAAGAACTCTAATCCCAGGGCATTAGATACTCTCTTCTGACCTCCACAGGCACCAGACATACATGTGGTCCACATCCATATACACAGATAAAACATTGATACACATAAAATAATAAGATAAATCCCCCAGAATATCCTAACTATCAAGTTTTTGGTTTCATGTAACAGCCATTGGAGGACAACTCATAGGGAATACTTGTGTGGATATGTATCTTTATCTGGGCCAAACTATTCTTACATGCTGTACAAAGTCACCTAGAATCTACTGTTTGGGTTGGAAAGGCAGCCTTGGTGGCTTACAGAGAGCTGCTTATGGCTGCTCCTCTGAAACCCATCTTCTCCAGTTCACGGAGAAGCATTGCCTAGGAATCCCAAGACCCACCAAACAACTGCTGTGCTTCTGGACACTGGTTATTTTCTCACAGGTAGGAGCTGCAGCCTCAAGAGAAGAGACGATTTGAGAGAATGAGATACAAGCAAGCTTTGGAGAAAGAACAAAGTGTGCCATTGCCACTAGTGCACAGATTGCACACAGTTCATGAATGCTGTGCGATGCATAGATTACAGAGAGTTCACGAATACTGTGTAGTGCACAGATTACAGACAGTACACGAACACTGTGCAGTGCACAGATCACAGACAGTTCACGAATACTATGCAGTGCATAGATTACAGACAGCTCACGAACACTGTGCAGTGCACAGATTACAGACAGTTCATGAACACTGTGCAGTGCATAGATTACAGACAGTTCACGAACACTGTGCAGTGCATAGATTACAGATAGTTCACGAACACTGTGCAGTGCATAGATTACAGATAGATCACGAATACTGTGCAGTGTATAGATTACAGACAGTTCACGAACACTGTGCAGTGCATAGATTACAGATAGATCACGAACACTGTGCAGTGCATAGATTACAGATAGATCACGAACACTGTGCAGTGCATAGATTACAGATAGATCACGAACACTGTGCAGTGCACAGATTACAGACAGTTCACGAATACTGTGCAGTGCTTCAACCTTTCCAGCGCTGGGATTACAGGTGTCAATCACCATGCCGAGTCCTGCCTTTGTTCTGTTTTGTTTGTTGTGGTCCTTTGTTTGTTTTATTTCCTGTGTGTGGGCACATGCATGCACATTCACAGGGGGATGTGCAAGAGATTGCAGGCGACCTTGGAGGCCAGAGCTGTGGGATCCCAGGCGGTCGTGGGACGCCTGGTGGGAGTGGGAACCAAACTCGGGTCCTCTGTAAGAGCATTGAACTCCCTTAACCTCTGGGTTATTTCTCCAGACCCTGCCTTTGCTTTGAAACCCTTGCACTGGCACAAGGTCACCGGAGCTCTGTGCAGCAGAAGCAAAACACTACCATTCTTATCCAAATGTTTCTATGGCCCAGAAGCGAGGGCGTAAACAATCTAGGACTGGATGCTGGTGAGGGGGAAAATGCCAGTTAAGGAAAAGTGGATCCATCCTTCCTCCTACAAGGTATTTAAACACCAACCCCAGAGGGAAATGAATACATGCAATCTCTATAGCCCTGGAAGCTAAAACAGGACCTCGAGCCATGTAATTAATATATATCGCTGCTGCTAGGGTAAGCTCATTTTGACTCAAAGACTTGTAAGCAATTTCAGAGATAATGACTCTTGCATTTCTCGAGTGTAACCTTCAACAGTAAATAAAAGTAAATTAAAACATCAGGCCAGGGTAACTATTATAAGTCCACAAGCTGACGAGGAATAAGAGAATTTCAGGACAGTAACATTACATCCCACAATAAGAACAGTGACCATTACAGTATACCAGGGACCAAGTACATCCTATATATAAAAATTCATTTGGTCCTCAAACAATCCAATGAGAGAGATTCTATTAAGGTCACCATCCCATGTGACCTTAGAATTAAGAAGAGGACCCAGAAAGATAGTGATGTGTCTATAGATACTCAGAGGATGAACAAAAGACAGGATTCAAATGGGAGCAACCTGGCGCTAGAGTGTGCTAAGCTGTCCCTGCTGTCGCTCCTGCTGGGCCCCACTAAAACATGAGGGGAGGAGCTGGTTCCAGGAAGTGGATGAAAGCAATATCATAGCGTATGGAAAAATAGCATGAGCGCAGTGGGCAAGCCGACAGTGAGCTAACAATTCCACCAGCCTGATTTGTTTTCAAGTTGAACAAAAGAAGCTTGTGAAACTGTTTGCTTTAAATGGAGGTAGTGCCAAACATATGTGAACATATTTTACACTTTTGTTGCATGTATTTGTTACACATGTGCACATGCCACGTGTGCCGGGGAACATATGTATTGGTCAGAGCACCAATTTTGGGAGTTGAGTCTCTCCTACTTTGTGAGTCCCAGGGACTGAATTCAGGCCATTAACCTTGGCAACAGGTGCCCTCATGACCACTCTCTACAGTATTGGCATTCACCATTAAATAACCTCAGACTGCCACTTCTTAGGACAACATGCCACCGGTATTGTCGGACAACCTAGCCAGTGTTTCTCCAAAGGCAGACTCTTAGAAAGAGGTTTCCATCCGTGAAAGCCCAAGAGCTAAATAAAAGATCTACAAAAAAAGTCAAGGTCCCCAGAGAAGATGATGGAGGCCCTAAATTTCCACGGTTCTAAGTTTCCATGGCATATCTTCCCCATCCCACTTCCCCAAAGCAGCTCCACCACACAGGGACCATTTCCCCTAAGACCTCACCCAGAAGCTGGCCACCGGAACGTGTGGCACTGACAGAACCACATGAGGTTAGTGCGGTAAATTGGAGCAGCAAGGAGGGGCAACAGAACGCAATGCTGATGAACCGTACCTAGCTCCTTCTGAATGATGTCAGGGATTCCTGAAATAGTCTTTCTCCTTTTGACTTTCTTCGGTCGTCTTACCAGAGTGTCTGTGTAAATTAGAGACCGCCGAAGGCTGGCCTGACGATCGAAATTCTCCCCTAACGTAGAATAGTAGAACAAGCAAAGCAATGTTATTGTCAAGCAAGCTGACACCATGCACGTCCTTCCAGAAGCTTGTAAAATGATAAGAAAGTATTAATAATGAGGTTAGCCAGTCACATGACGATGGAGGATGAAGGACGAATAAAGACAGGAAGCACATTATCATCAGAAGGCTGTTTCCAGGGTCTACTCTGTGTTCTCCCAAGGAGGGCCCGTCCGTCTCGCTTCCAAACAAGCTCCAAATTTGCTAACAACACACTGCCAGGATGATTGTTTGTCACTGGAGAATGAAGGGCCTGGCAAGTGAGTGCTTTATAAAGAGATCACAAGGATCACTCTACAGCAGTGTGTATGTACCGGGGGCAACAAATCCGTTGTACGCATCTGGTCATCCGATAGAGACCAGTATCATGATTGTGTGTTAGAGCAAGTGGAAGCCGGAGCTTATCAAATGTCAGTCAAGAAGGCCAACAATTTGGATGCGAGGTGAACGTCATGGAAACTAGACTGCCTTATAATGATAAAGCCCTTCCACCGTAGTGAGACCCAGCAACACTGCTGTTGTCAAAGCTCAACTCTCCCTTTATTGTTCATAATTTCGTAGGGTGCCAGGGCTTGAACCCAGGGTCTGTCACAGGCTGGGCAAGTGCTGCACCCCCACTTCCTAACTGCATCTTTGAAAGTTAATCCCATTTCAGACTGTGGCACCCCAGGACCGCATCCACGGAGCAGTTTGCCCGAGTCCAAGCAGATTAGCACACTGTGAGAAACCAGAAAGTAACAAGGTCTCTGCCAGCATCAGTTACAGACTCATTTGAATGATTTGCCATTTTGGATAAAAGAGGTTTTAGGGGAATTGGGCTTTTTACACAGTTATTCTCTTAAAAATGAGACTTCTAAAAATACACACATTCATAGAAACCCCATACTTCTAGCATCATCCTGTGCATGAGAGAGGTATGAACTGGTCACTCTTGGTTAATAATATTGTCGTATCTTTAAAGTAGACACGCGGCAATCAATGAAACTTCTACTTCATAGGAATGAAGTGTGAGCCTGGCCTCATTAAAACGAGGTAGCTTTTAAACACGCACTACCCACTGAGGAACAGACTAATAAATACATATAAGCTTGCAAATCTTTGCAACTTTGCTCTGAACAAAGAAAAGCAGGAGCAAATTCAGAGCAGGGTCTGAAACAGCAGTAGGTACCATTCGGGGATAAAGAGACCACACAGACACAACAGCTTCACCAGCACTGCAAAGGGGAAGTCGCTCAGTACTTTATTAGTTTCCTGAAGCCAAAGAAAAGATATTCCCTCTAGGGAGGCATCCAATGTGGGCAAAATAGTCTCAGAAAGTTGCGCCTAGTTTCCAGTTTTCTGGCCTTGTGGGTGGGATAGAAATAAAAAACAATCATCACCCAATCACTAAGAAAACTGTGTAGCAATGAGGGTGAAAATCTATCTACAACATTCTCATTGCTTTACACTGTGACCCAGAAAGGGCTCTGCCACAGGCTAGGCTCTACACATTTCCTTAAGTAGAGGCTGTGTCTTGTGGACCCTGGCATCCTCGACAGTACCATGTCGTTAGGAGATAATTATCTGTTGAATTGAATTGTTCCCCATCACTGATACCCAGCATCAGCCCAGCATCAGCACTAAACAGTTTACAAATGCTTTCAGAGCGTGTTGACCTGTACACTAATCGTTTAGGTGAAAGACTTGATCCGTGTGGCAGACGATGGAGCACACAGTCTCATGTTCTTTTTATTTAAAACATTTCCCCTGCTTAACCTTTAGAACATACCAAGTCTCTGAAAGACTGTAACTAAAGGGATTACATTCCCTTGCAGGCCAGTGGTTTGCTGTGTTGAGCCACTGGCTCACTGTTCTGTATCTCTAACCCTGCTAGGCACCACTCTGGATATGAAGCCATCGACGTATTGGCATTTGTTTATCCAAAGCCATACTGAAAAACAAAGTGAGCGGGTCAATATCACCAAAATTCAGAATCACATGGCCATTTCCTACAGGCAGTGGCTTTTTTATCTAAAGAAATCTGGAATCTTAGAAATAAATAAAGTGTAGGAGGCTGAAGAACCTGTGCCAGCCCAACCACTCGGAGTGAAAGCTTTAAACTTACTGCTTCTTTGGACCAGACTAGAGAAATGCATCCTTCAGAAACACGTGTGTCTATATGAACACACAGATGCAGACAACAGATCCATATGTATACAGCGGTTACGTTAATGCTGGCGCTCTGTGAAAATGCCAGTCACTCAATTAAAAACAGATTGTGTTTTACAGGTCTAGGCTGTCCAGTTCATTGTCAGCAGTCATTCACCTTGGGTGGGTGGCATTTGAAAGCCTCCTTGGATATCTATGTACTTCCTCTCTATATAGCAGCCAGACAGGTAAGAATGCTCAGAGGAACACCTGGGCAAGCCATCTGCAAGGACGCCTTTCACTGCAAACACTGCTTTCTGCCTAAACCCCTCCTCAGTCTAGTTTCCTACCCCTCACTTCAAGGCAGAACCTTAAAGGGCTGTCATGCTTCACGACATAATATGCATAGCTTATCATATTATTTTGATGCTTTCTACCACCTAGTCATATTTCTTCTGCTTTTCATCCATGACATGACCCATGTTCTTGTGGAAAATATAAGCTTACGGATGCCTAATGACGTAAGGATTAAGTACCACACTGCTCTCCAGCATAGCTACTTAGAACAATAATATTTTAACGACGTGAGCTAGGTGGAAGAGAGGCATGCTCACAGACATCAACAATGCTGTTTACGAAAAAAAAAATGGGTTAAAATGTCATGCTGTTTCTTTAAGGCTTAAGTTTGTAAAAATGTAAAATATGTGCATGGAATTGGAAGTAATTCATGTATTTATTAAATTTCCATGAAAATCTACACATAATTTCTAAATATACTCTATTTAAAAAAACCACATCTTATCTAAATGTTATTATGCCTTGCAAGTTTACTGGTACCATGGTAACAAGTCTTCCAACAGCAATAGCCTCAAAAGATAGAAGGATGCTATAGGCTTTCATCCTAATTGTTAATGAAAACTTCTTCCTCTCGGTCAGCCAGTTTTAAGGACATAGAGAGAAGACTTTGTGTAGATTTTGTGTATATGGCACTAATCACTTATTCCTATGTAATACACCAACATAGTTGATGCCACTATGAGTTCATGCATGTGGACACACACACACACACACACACACACACACACACACACACACACACACAGGACTAAACTCAGAGCCTGGTCCAGCTACTATGAACTCTTTCCTGCTGTAGGAAGTCTTACAGCCAGGGTTACAGGCCCACTGGGGCGTGGCTTCTTATACTACATAAGCTGATGTAGAGCATGTGTCCCCTCTCTTTCGGGTTGCTGGATTCGGTTTCTGTTCTTCAGCCAAGCAGAGGATTCTGATTTATGAGTTTACCCCTAAATAAATAACCATCTATTTCTCAATTCTGAGCTAGTGTGGGATTTCTTTTACGCGTCCTTCCACACTTTACCATTTTGCATTTTTTGCTCCTTCACTCAAACTGCTTACCAGTTCTCTTGGAAGACACTGGCGGAATAAAGACAGCAAATCCGGGCTCTTTGTGAACAATTCTTCTAAAATTATGCTCGGCTTGGAGCTCTCTGTGTTCCATTACTTGTTGCCTTAATCATCTAAAGAGTCGATGATTCAACTCAACAATTAGTAGCCACAGTATGGCCAATGGGCCAATTCTTAAAATCATTCCCTTGGCAGAAATGAATCTTTACTTGAAGATTGAGACTCAGCTTTTAGAAACTGAGGGAATACTCTTATCATTCTACTGAGATTTTTTTTTAAAGATATGCTTTGGTTACTAATTTAATTGATGCCTTTATCTCAAACATTTCTTCTTTTCCATTTGAACAAACAAAAGGTAAGAAAATAATCAGTATGAACAGAATGAAATATTTCCTTTTCATTCTAGAAATATTTCTTATGATAGTATACAGCTTTTGCCGCTAAGGACCACAAAGACAGGATATTCCTACGGAACCAAAATCTTAGTTAAGAACAGTGCAATTCAAAAGCCATCCCTCCACGAATGGCTGAACCATCGAGTTCTCCCTTATTTAACAAACAACAGGGTTTTTTTTTTTACATACACACATATAGTTCTAGTGTTTTCTTCATCATATAAAGAGTAGGAGGCCACCCCACAGCTCTTCACTTGGATGCATAAAGAAAACGCTGACAGCGTAGAGCAAACAAAGCCAAAGACACTCTCCCAAGGACACCCTGACTCTGTTCACCCTGCAAACATACCAGTTATGTTAATAGGAACCACATCAGCCTGGACTGCCTGGGCTTGCTGCCGCGTCTTCTCTTCTGGTGTTGGCAGCGGCAGGGACTTGGTCCAGTTTGTCTGAGTGTGAAGGTCGGAGACGTCAGCTGAGGTTGGCGTTCGAGGTCGCCTGATGCTGATAAATCTTTCTTCTTCAGATGAAGAGACAGAACACTGCCGTGGGAGAGAGAAACAGTGTATGTAATTAGCTGTTAGGGACCGCTACACGCAGTTATTTAAAAAATGAGACTAACTTCAAGCAAGTCCCCAAATGGTTCCCCTTCCAAGAACAGAGCAATAATCTCCCGTTGCGCGTGACCTTCCACACATGATTCGCTGCATCCTTCGTCTGGAGAATGCCAGCATAGCAGAGGTTCTGCTGACCTACAGAACCTTTACAGTTTTGCTTAACTCCACCATAGGTTAAAAGCCTATGGATTCCGTCTAACATTAGAAGCCTGGAAAAAATGTCACCGCTAAGGCCATCACTTTCTATCTGTATTAAAATTCAGTTTTGCTCAAAGTAATTTCTAGTTTCAATCCTATTTCCTTTAGGTTCCAGGAATGCTTCACACACAGAACGATGGCACCGTTGTTCAACTGTTTGGTGTTTATGAAGCTATCTAAATGGGTTAAAAAAAGTCAGTGTGAAATTGTTAAGTTCTAAGAGGCAGGCTAAAGCTGCACTCTGGGCCTTATCGGAATTCCAGGACAACATTTCAGCTGTGTTTTCTTTGATACAGATTAGCATTCTCCCTGAAGAGGCCTTCTTCCATGCCCTTCCGTGCAACACCTGAAGACGTGTAAGCAAGAAAGCTGTGTTGGCAAGCATTTTAAACATGACTTCACCAGAGCTCCCGGGCAGCTAGTTCTGTAATGAGGATGGCCCAAGAACTCAAAATAAATGCACCATTCTTAAAAACAAAACAACAACAACAAAGTAGCTGGCTTGTTGTGAGCCATTTAAGATATACAATAAATGTAAAAGGTCTATTCAAGTTTATAGATTTAAACTGAAATACCACTATGCAAATAAGGTGTTGAAGAAGAATTCTACTGAAGAAGAAAGGGTTCTCTCTTGTCTGAGACCCCCGGAGCAAAGGTAACTGTTTTGTTATTTAGTATTGGTAAAGAAACTTACACTGTCAGCGTTCTCTCTCTCTCTCTCTCTCTCTCTCTCTCTCTCTCCCCTCACTCATGACTTGTTTGCATTTGTAAAGACTTATCTAGCTTTAAATGGCCTGTCTGGATGTCCTGTAGGATGTGAGAAACACAGGGAAGAAATAGAAATACAGAAAGACATCGGTCCGTCACGGTTGTGTGATATTTTGACTGTATTCTGACAATAAAGCTTGCTTTGAATCAGAAGGTGGAGAGAGCCAAAGCTGACCAAAATGAAACATAGAGGTTTTGGAGGACTGAGGACAGATGGAGAGACAGAAGCAGGAAGGCAGGGCTTAGAAAGGCAGCCCTTTTGGATGGAGGAACAGAAGAGAGAGGAGATCACTGATTGCTTCTCCACCTCTTCTCTGATCATTCAGGTTCTTACCCCAATATCTGACTCCCAAGTTTTTATTAATAAAGAATCATTAGATCATCATGTCACCTCAGACACAAGGCCACTGCCATCACTTGATGTGGGATGTTCCTCTGTATGCAATGAAAATGTTTTATTACTATTGGTTAATAAAGAAACTGCTTTGGCCTATAGCAGACCAGAATATAGCTAGGTGGGAAATCCAAGCAGAGAGACAGAGAGAAAGAAGGCAGAGTCAGGGAGACAACAGTAGTCACTGGGGAAGCAAGATGTGAAGTAACAAGTCACGAGCCTCATGGTAAAACATAGAATAATAGAAACGGGTTAATTTAAGTTGTAAGAGCTCGTTAATATGAGCAAATTTGAGCTAATAGGCCAAACAGTTTGTAGTTGATATTAAGCCTCAGAGTGGTTACTTGCAAAATGGTGGGCAGAAGAGAAACCTCCAGCTACAACAACCGTTTACTGCTACGAAAAAAGACTGCCTGAAAAATACCCATCCCTTCTACTGCTTGAGGGACACAAACCTGAAAAACGGTCTAGGGACAAGGCCGAATGGTACAAAGTTCCAGCCTCTCTGAAATGTTGAACTTTCCTTTGCTGGGAAGAGCTGCACAGCCCCTCTTCTGTGCCTGAGAGACTCTTAGGTCTTAATAAATGTGCATGTGTCATGACTGCTAAATGCAATGGCATGACGGACACAAAAAGCCAGGGATACACAGAGAAACCCAATCTTGAAAAACATGTGTGTGTAATTAAATATCTCAATATCTATGTTTACCATTGCTAACTTGCAAAACACAAAAAGACCATCTAGTTTCATTTTAAACTAGAACAAATGTGGATTAATATTTGTAACTAGACAAACAGACTCTCTGTATAAGCTGAGCGTGTGTCACTGACAACAGACCATGGCACTAACCTAGTATGATGATGAGATCACACACAGATCCTTACGAAATCCCCACTAAGATGACTTAGTGGGTACCGGTACTTCCCACTGCCAAGTTCAATCCCAGGAACTCATATGAGAGGGGAGAGCCAAGTCTTGCAAGTTGTCCCCTGACCTCCACTTGCCACACTGTGGCATGTGCTAGCTCACACTCGTACAAAAATAAAATAAGTAGGCCATGAAGTTGATCAAATGGATTTCTGAGGCATCAGAAACCAAGCCCACTGGTGTAAACCCATCGGTTCCAGGCTTTTTGCAGTTTCGACACTCTCGTTAACTCGGACTTTTAACACTTGTCTCTATCTGCAAGGTGCAGACACATATAAATGCATATTAAAATTGATTTCATTGGAGAATGTCATGGCAGTTTGTAAAACAGTCACGTGTCTGGGGTGGAATCTCAATCGAGTGAGTTACAAGTCTACTCCAGCAGTACAGGCAGCATAAATTTGGAAGGTAGAAAGCAACTCCTGGCAAAAAGCTGGTGGACGACACATGAGTTCCTTTCCCAGGTGACATCACCAAGGACCAGCGACAAGCACCACTCTTGTCTCCTCAGCACCCGAAGGAGGCTCTGCAGGCCCACTAACCTACTTTTCCGGATGATGTCAGAGTGGACAGCCTTCACCGAGAGGCAGAACTTCCCTGCAGCTTTGGTTGCCATGGGAGGATCCCCAGGGCTGGCTACAGTGTGACAACTCACTCACAAAGCAAATCTATTTTACCAAGCTCCCGAAGTCCTCTCTTCTCTGGTGAGCAGATTTCCTAGGCAAGTGGAACACGAAATCAGTATGCAAATGTGGCTGTTTCTCAGTACCACCATCCAACCCAGAAAAGGCCAGGGTGGATGACTTTCAGAAGGATCCAACTCCCAGACCCAATCTGTTTACAAACATTGCAGTGACCAGAAACCCCGCTTGGAGTCTCAGCGACAGTCTTTCCTATGGATGCTATTAAGAAAGATGTGGTCTGGATGGTACCCACCCCATGTGTTACACCTCATGTGTCAGAGGCCGCTTCCCAGCTTCATCCCACCTAACGATGTTGGGACTGTTAGGAGGTGGGGCCAAGTGAGAGGATTTGGGTTCATGGGGAAAATGCTCTCAAAGGGGAGACGGGAACTCGGGCTCCTCCTTCTGTTGATGTATTTGTCCTCTGGCTACACGTAGATGGTTTTGCTTGATTCTTCATTTCTGTCATGAAATTCTGACTCTCCATGGGCCCCACAAACAAGAAGACCAACCATTTGTGGGCAGAAACCTCCAGTCTAAGAAACACTAACAACCTTCTTCTTCTTACAAAAGGTTACTTAGTATTTGTTATAGCGACCGGAGGATGACTAACAACATCTCCTACACCAGCCCAGTAGCTGGCCTCGTCTTCCTGTTTCTGCTCATCACCCATCCCCACCCCTCCCTTTCCAGCAGTATAGTCTCTTTTCACACTGCAAGTCACGCCAAGGTGCTCCTCTCTCCGAACCCTCTGGAATCCTTAACTAGGAATGCCAGACCAATCAAAGATGGAGAGAGAGAGAGAGAGAGAGAGAGAGAGAGAGAGAGAGAGAGAGAGAGACAGGCCAAAAACTGGCATAACGGAAGTGAAGAAACTGGGGGAGGGGGCAGGTTGGCCATGCCACCCTTTTAATAAGTAACACGGTACAGTAAAAAGAATTTGAGTCTGAGATGCCCTGGACCCATCCTCTCCCTGACGCCTTCTAGTTGTGTGGTTACGTCAAAGTGTTCCTTGTTTCTGAGTCTCAGATTCCAAACCGTTAAAACAACAGTCACAAGCATCAAAAGACCCATTTGGTAGGATTCTTAAGGAAAATGGGAGACGATGAGGGGACAAATTCTGGAGAAGTTTTAAGGTGTGCTGCTAGGGTTACAAAGTTAGAAACCGCAGGACTGCTGGGGGGAGCTGTACATACGGATGGGACGACCTGTAAAGTCAGGATAATCAGATCTTTTTTTTAGTAGCTGCCAAAAGCTCTCAAATCCATTGCTTCAGGCAGAAAACTCCATGTGGGCAGAATAAGAGACAAGATGATTGGGAGGGTGGCCAAATTTTCATAAAGCAGACATTGTCTATTGTGCCATGTTCTTTGATGTCTGGCTTGGACAGTTTAATAAAAGTAATCATCATTACGTGAGCACACAGTATGTCGTTCCGGGCACTACACACAGGGCTTTCCAGACATCCATCCGCTCACCCTTATAACACTCTTTGGGGAGGGAGGGGGATAGAGCACAGTGAGATACCATCTACATCAAAACTCCAATACCTTTGAGAGCAAGAGCCGAGCTATTAATAATTACACAGGCGAGCAGCTGCAAACCAGGGCTGTCCCCCGCGAGCCACATGTGGCTTCATCTCTTTACAGTTAAAGAAACCAAAGCACACATAAGGAAGCAAAGGAACCGGCTAGAACAGGTGGGGAAGCTATCTCGAACCTGTGCTCTCTGCATCAGGTCCAAATGAACCTCCGGTGCACGGTTACAGCAATGAGCGAGGCCCCTGCCGCTGTCTTCAAAGTCTTTCTTTGCTTGAAGTATTTCCTTTAACGAAACCTAAAACACCCCCAGGGTGCTGGTTCAGAAAATAACAGGAACTAGAAAAGACAATTTCAGTTTCTGTTACTACCACCAAGGCCAGCCATTTATTGCCAAAATTCCAATCCAACTCATC